TCTATAGTCGTACCATCCAGCTGTATCTTTTCAGCAGCACAGAATATCACAGAGACCGTCGCGTTAGTATAGCCAGATCACAAGCCGTTTTCTGATTCTGTCCACAGGCCGAGTGCAATCGGAGCGTTCCAGCGCAATCGGCACATTCAGTGCATGGCCAGAGGCAGTCACCTAGCTCGCGCACACTTGGCTTGTGCAAGTGTGCGTATTTGTGTGAGAGACCAGGCTAGGGAGGTCCAAAATATCAGCTTGTACTCGCTCTAGGTTGCCAAGCAGGCAGCTGGAAGTGCAATGGACGACACGCAGAAACGGCTGACACCACCAAATTTGTGAGGAATCTCGGCCCTAGAATCTAGGCGAAAATAGCTGCAACGAAGACCCGAGTCGGCAATACTGCCCGTAATTGACCAGCAGGGCCACGCAAAGAGAAAGAAGCCGGAGAGTGAACAGCCAAGCACTCTGGAGTCGGTCCTAGAGTCTCAACCAAGTCCTGGCAAAAGAAGCCGAGGTGGCTTCAGATCTTGCGGAAGCCGGGGCCTCAGTATGGCGATGAGATCCTGCAGCCCAGGAAAACATGTCACTTGTGCGTCGGACGTCAGACTGTTATTCAGGGTGTTTACGGCCAGGCAGGAAGGCCGGCCTCATCTGGAGCAAACATTCCGAGGTAGTTCTCGGAGATGCGTCTGCTCGGGTCACTTTTCGAGCTCGAGGGGATCAGGCCTGGTGCTTCGACACTGGGCAGGGCCATGGGCTCTACGGCGCTTGTTTGGAATTTCGCATATTACGATTCGATCAGCACACGTGATGCGATTGGTACAGTTTACGTTGACTCGCGCAGGCTATTCCAGTCTGCCCACGTAAGAGGGCATGTGCAGATGTATCATCCAGTCGCAGCATGTCCTTGCTGCCCAGCAGGTCAAGCTCTGTCAGCCGGGAAGCATTCTCCGAATTCAGAATGCTTTGGTTGCAGCCCGGCATGCAAATCAGACGTAAGCCTGATGATTTATTCTGAATCATCCTGGCCAGACGTGCGAACAACAAACTTCGGCTAGCTGACAGCTGTATGAAGTGAATTCAAGCACATAGTATACAGGTGAGCCACAGCCACTGTACACAACTTGCCTCTTCGATCAGGTCATGGTTAAAGGATACATCCGCTGGAGCCTTGCACGGGGCATGGCGCAGCATCGGGGTGTCGGAAGAAGGATGCTGTCCTGAAAGTGTGTCAATCCTGGCGAGTTGGTGGATGTTTTGTATGGAACTCAATGCAAAACGCTTGTGGATACAGCAACTTGGCTTGTTGTCGGGATTGCAATGAGGCTTGAGCTTGGGGATGCGAAAAAATAGTGAATCTCGTACTCCGGGAGCACCCCTTCCAGCTTCGACATTGATTTTGCTGCAGCTTCCATACTACGTCAATCCCTGTCAGCGGTCCCTGCTCAACCCATAAGGTGCTTCATTGACCTTAGAAGCAATGCTTCCAAGAAGCTGAGGAGATCCTGGAATAGCAGTGTTTCACCAGCTACCAACGCCTTCTTACACAACCCAAATATCACTTGTCTTCTGCAGTCTACAGTTATTTACTGTGCTATTGCCCCGAAATAGCTTGAAGATATCTGAATAGCAAGGCCTAGAGGTCAACAAGTGGGGTGTGGCAAAGCTTGCGCCGGACCACGCCGATTTCGAAGTGGACGCTGGGCTGCTTACAGCGTAGCGGGTCAGGCTTTCTGGCGATGAGCTGGGCGCTGTTGAGTGTTTGACTTGTTGATTGACGAGTCCAGGACAGGATCTCCTATGTCATGTCTGAACTCCTTGAAAGTTCGTACGGAGTATTGATGACGTTCATGTTTGTGAGCACGTCTGTTAGCTTCACAATCACAGAAGCCAGGTTTGGCGTCCACTGTTCATAATTCTTCCGTTGACCTCGTCGTGCTTCGCCGACATAGACAATTGTTGAACGCCTGCACCGTCGATGTCCGGGGTGAGGAGAAAAAATCGAAATGGCAAGTAACACCACCAAAGACCTCAAAGAGTCAACAACATCGTCTCTATGTCTATGTCGTCATACCTAATGACCCTGTTTATTTTTCTTCGCATGTTGACACTCCTGTGCTACTGCGGGTTATTACAGGGCATCATCTGTCACCTAAAGTATACATCTTGTTATCAGTGTATGTGGGTGTATGTGTTTGTGTGTTTGATTGCATACGTTTAAGCCAATCTGCCATTGGAATGCTTGTGGTAGGCACGTGCACAGCGAACATGTATATGTATATACCTACGGGAGCCTGCAAAAGCCCCGAACGTTTCTTCTCCTTGAGTATAGTATAGTGGTCGTCATCGTCGTCGCAGCAGCCGGAGGCAGGTCTGGGGGGAGCCTCTGTTCATACTCTGGGTATTTTCAGTATTTCCTGCACGTTTGGATGCTGTGGCCGGAAGATGCTTCAGGCTTCTTGAGCAAAATATGCAGTTGCGCGTGCCCATTCCTTGAGCAGACATGCCCAAAGCACTGGCATTTACAATGCTTTCGCCAATTCTGTCCTTTTTACTGTCACAGATGTTTGACGCTTCAGACACTACCTGTCGCACAGATCCGTGCAAATCGCCAAAATATAAACATTTCGGTATTTGCAGCTGCCCCATCTGGAGCAGGCACTATAAAAATCTGTGTCGCAAAAGTAGTTCCGGAGATTTCCAATTTTGACATTGCTTCACAAAGACAAGTGCTATAAATACCACAGACTTCCCAGGCGCCGGCATCGGCTGCTGCTGGTGCTACTACTACTACTACTACTACTACGACTGCTACCACTGCTACTGTACTACTTCTACTTCTCCTCCTCCTCCTCCTCCTACTACCAATACTACTGACTACTACTACAACTACTACTACTACTACTACTACTACTACTACGACTACTACCACTACTACTATACTACTTCTACTTCTCCTCCTCCTCCTCCTACTGCCAATACTACTGACTACTACTACAACTACTACTACTACTACTACTACTACTACAACTACTACTGTGAACGGACTGCGAAGCATTGTCAGCTCGGAAGGGCCTGTATAAGAGCTATGAGAAGAACGATGTACAGAGCAAACCTACGACTCTAGTCCCCAGGTCGTATGGTACAATCCTATGTGGATACCCGTGGAAAAGCAATGCCTTTGGCTGGCAGCATTCAGAAATTCACGACAGCACACACAGGCCGCTACAGCTACATTGTGTCATTCTGGTTTGAAGCTGAAACTTCATGATGATGTTGGCCCGTCCCCGATGTACCAACCAAGGTCAGGCAGCGAGGCAAAAAGAGATCCTGCAGGGTTCAAGAGAAGCTTGCAATGCCAAGAAACAGATTTTCACAGCAGTGGAGGCGGAGGAAGGCACCAGGGTGAAACAGAAGTAGATTAACACACCAAGAGACATTCGAGGTTCAGAAGTGGGACCAACGCGTCCGAGGGCGAAAAGATATCGAAGGTTACGATAGCACTAAGGTCAATGACTTAAGGTCAGAAAAAGACTGTCGAGGTGCAAGCGAAGACTTAGCTCCATGCTAACATCATCCATTTTGTCAAGATGTTCGCACCACTAATGACGAGCTAAGGCCGCACTTGACATCAGCGCCGTCGAGTATGAGCTGGCTAAGGCGTAGATACGTAGGCAGTAGTTCGCTTAGCTTCGCGAAGCTGTAGCGATTGACTTATCGCGCAGGGCGGCGGGCTTGCACACTGTACCTGGTGCCCAAGAGGCAACCAACAAGGCCTGTGGCAGGAGCGGCTGCTGGATACTCCTGGTGAAGATTCCCGGACATGGTTGCAACCCGAGCGAAGGTAGCCAATCAAAATGGGGTCGCTGCGTGGCTCAATTCCTGTTGACGATATTCCTCATCCGGGTGTCTCGCGGCATTGTGCAACCACACGCTCACCGATTGTGACCCGCAAAGCGTGCTGGTGCACAGCATGCGAGAATCCAGAAGGCTCCATGCAGCTGTTTTATAGTAGGTTTTTTCCCAAGGACAGCATGCAAAACAGACATGCGAGCAACTCCCACATCAGTCCAGCCAGACCCACCTCCTACCCACTCTATATCACAAATGCAGAGCTCTCTAGACCCCTTGTGCCGACATGGACCCCAAACCCCACGCGTTGCCGTCACGCCGTGAGGAGAGTTTTAACTTGAAGCAGACGCTCCGGAAGCAAGCGCCCAGGATGGGCACAAGTCCCGCAGCCTCACACTCCAGCCCCTACTGAAAGCCCATATACAACGGAAAGCTACCAGTACCAGAAGAACGGTTTTCCCCATGCGCGCCCATTACTGCGCCTGACACCCGTCCCCGTCAATAGACGGTGGACTTTTCCAGGCACGACGGGCAGACCAGAGAAGACTATTATGGAATTTGACTTTGAGATCGTTGGAATCGAATACGACTGCAGGGTTTGCGATGAGGCATGTGGTGCATGCTAATGTTGCTGGCCCCTGTAAGATGTCATGTGCCGAACAAGTCCTAGGGCTGACCAGCACATCGGACATTTGCGGCATGACATTGGTACTTAGACTTGCATACGGGGCCGAAGCTATACTAATAGGATCGGCGTTCGCAAATGGGCCGATCATGTATGTCTCTGATGTAAAGCGCACAACTGGGGTTCAATGTATCGGGCGGTGATGCAAGCTGCTTGTCGGCTTGGCCTTTCAGAGTGTCAGATGCGTGCACGTTCCTCAACAATGCTGACCCTCCGACTGGTAAAGTCGAAACTCCCATTGGCATCTCCAAAACCGCGACCTTCAACCTAGCTTCCCGGTCCTCGAGGTTGCAAGAGCAGGTTTTGTTTGGGGCTTCTGGAATGTCGGGGCCAAGTGCAAGGGCTTGGAGGTTTCGGTGGGGTGTGTAGCAGCCCAGACGTTCAGTTCTGGATCCATCACGAAGAGAGAGACAGAGAGATAGAGAGAGAGATTTAACCCCGGCCCGTCGCTGGCTGCAGGTGCTCCAAGATGGGCTGCTGCCAGGGTAACTTTGAACAGGCCTGGATTCGGCTGTGCGGAGGGTGGGGCTCTTTCCACTCTTCAGAAGACCTCAGCGCGTGCTACTTCACTGTTCTCTTGCAAAACTCCCGATGTGCGGACCACTGACCACTACAATGAGGCTGATTTGGTTCTTGGAGCTTTTGGGAAGTTCATGAACGTCCGTCCGAGTCCTTCATTTACGATTTCCGTGTTTAGCTGCAAGGTCTTGCAGTCTTGTGAAAGACTGCGCTGTGCGCCTGAAGCATCGTAACATTGCGCATGCACCTTGAATTCTGATGCCGGCGCCGTTTGCTTGGGCCGTGATTCCCGGGACGACACCCTGTGCTCCCACCGCTCGGTTGCCTCCGGTGCCATTTACTTTCAGGGCTCAAGCCCAAGTCTCGACCGAACCGGTAGATTCCAGATGCATCATCTTCTGACTATATTCTGACTATAGGGCTGCCTGGATTCAGGAGCTGGCTGTATGTGCAACAAGTATAATTTGCTTTTGTACTTGATCTTGCTTAAGATGCTGCATAGGCTGTCCGGATGCACGATATCGATGCCGTTCCGCACATAGCTGAATGTGTGCTCAGTACACACCGTTACTCGGCATACACTGAGCCCTAGGTAAGCCCGATCTCTGGCTTAAATAGAACGAAGTTCAGTCAATGTCCGTGGACGCTGCCTTTCACCTTCATGCGGTACTGTCTCCTTCTGGCAGGCTGGGAATTAAATGCGAGTGGGAGATGTTGTGTGCAAGGTCGAGGGAATCTGCTAGGGCAACATGGCAAGAAACTTTCTTGTGCCAGAAATGTCTCTGCCACGTTGGCCATGTTCGTTTCTTCGGAGAGCTTTCCTCTCAATGGAGGCTTGAGCCATGTCAGCCTCGCTTACGCTCAAGACGACTGTCACACAGGCCTCGCTTGCAGAGGGTTTGAATGCGGCTTGCCGGTCCAAGGTTTCAAGTGTCGGATGTTGGGTTGAAGTCTTGGTTTACTTACGGCCTGAACATGCATTGAACTCCTTCGTAGTTTGGGATGCCGTCGCAGCGATACATCCCAAAGAGCCTTGCCATCTGGGAATGGATTACGTGTCTCCTAGCAAGAAGCTCAGAATGAAGAACTTGCTTCAAGCTTGAAACATGCACTTCACCAGTTAGCCGGTTGTTAGCCAGTTCTTGGAGGTTCATGTGCTCAGTGATGCATCCTCGCTACCTGGACTTCGTCTGTGGCTACGCATGAGCCCTGCATCCAAGCAAGGTGAGTTGCAGCTCCTGCAGCGCAAGCTGGATCTCGAGTCTCCGGCGCAAGTCAGGGCCGGTGGCGAGTTCCACGGAATTCCTTGCATAGCCCCACAGCAAAGGCCTCTCCGGTTGAGGTGGTTGATCGTCAATCATTGAAGATGCTTCAAGCACTGCCGCTCCACAGATTTGCCAGATCACTTCAAGCTTCCATGGGACCTTCGCACTTGGGTCCGAACCGCATGCTGCAAGTCACTCGCGGCATAGTTCCTGCAGCCAGCGAAAGACAGCAGCACTTGCTGACAAATGGCCCCTATAGTTACAAACCATGGTCGTGTAAGGTGAGAATCTGAAGTCCTCTAAGGAGCCCTTGGTCTTGCCCCAGCTTCGAGCTGCCGAACCCATCAAGTGGCTGCGCCTCGTCAACAGCGGTCAATAGCCGCCCACAGGAGTGCACTTTTGAATGCTCCCGGACCATGCCGTAAGTTGACTCGCAGGTGTCTTGTCGGGCTGAGCCCAGCATGCAGATTTGTGGGAGCCAAGAAAATGGCTCCTGCAGGTACCAGATATGTTTTTCGTTAACCTGAAAGCTTCATTTGTGGCTTTTCTGATTGAGTGGCGTGATTTTGCAGGGCACAGAGAAAATCACGAAATGGCTGGCAGCTCGCAGCACCGAGGCACATCCCCAAATGTGGGACCTCCTTCTTGAGCCTTGGAGCAGAATTTGCCTTGGAATCGGTACACTCCAGCCTTGGAGTCATGTTTGAAACAACCTGCCGTCTTCCACACCAGGTTCGCGCTACACATGCAAGCCATACAGCTTTGCCTGATAGGGTGAGTCCAAGCGTTTGCTCAGGTAGAGCTCTCGCACTAACCAGCGGTCTGTGCGCATGAACTTGGGATCATGTCCGTAAATACGGCTGCGATGGCAGCCTTGTCGGTGGAGTGGCGAACGGTCGTTGGTAAGACAGAGAATATGCACAAGTACTCTTGGTGCGCAACGTCTTGAAGCTTTTTCTCCCGAACCTCCGTCGCCACCACCGAGGAACGCCTTGATTCACCTGCCATCGGTTTGCCCTGGTGTGAGCCAGGGCTCAAGTATGTTTCGGTCGTTTACTGATCGACGGCAGACAGATGGTAGAGCATTCCAGGCTTGACACGAACCCCATGCATTGTCTTCAGTTCAAGGAGTCAATTTCTGGTCGTGCATCCGTGTGATTCCAAATTCCTAGGCCAAGGCAAGCCTTGAAACCCAAGGGGCAGCACAGCCAGTCGGTTTGCAGGAATCGTCCACAGTTTTGGATCTTCATTCGCAAGCTGAAACAAAGCCGATCCACATGTTCAACATCATGAAACCACGGTCCTATATGCTGCAGGCTTGAAAGCCCTTCGGCACCCGACCAGCCTGCAAGCCTGAAGTGCTGAACACCAGACCCGACACATATTTGAAGCATACTATCGGATTCGAGGGTTTGCTCATCAGCTTTATCTAGGGTTGGTTCGCGAAAGAACTGCTCATCGTTGGGAGCACCAGGGAGCACCCAAAAACCCAAAAAAAATATGCATTTTTTCGCAGAAGTTGAAGAGTTTTGTAGGGCCCGGCTCGTGATTCAGCCCACCCGAAAAGAACCTGAAGCTCTAGCCCAGCACTCCCGCTTGCTGCTGACATCCGGCAGTCGTTTTTGCGACGTGAGACTCTTTGAGACCCCTCAGCAAAATCCAACTCTCCATCCGCATAAACGCTTTCATACATGGAGCTCTTCTCTTGAAGCTGAGGGTTGGGCCAGCAGCAGGCTCGGAAAACGGTGTCAAAGAGACCTAAAGGGACCTGCGAAGGAACGCATCTTACCGCGTGGATGACAAAGTCCTCGGCAAGCACTTCGAGGATGAGTTTTTTCGCGAGTGCCCCGAGGCCTGAACTCCGGGGATATGGTGAATCACGCTTGTCGGTATGCCATAGCAGCACATCCCAAGCGCTGACTTCGACTTCTGGGGCTGGTGACACGTAGGGCGCCAGCTTATCTGGCAGCGAGTACTGATCACTGTTGGCCTGGACATTCGCTCCAGTTTGCAATTGCGAATGCTTGAAGCCGCAGGTCTGCAATGCAAGCAAGTTCAACTGCGAGTACAGTCACCACGTGCCTTTGGCGCGCATTTCTTTCATTAGTACGCTCGGTCCAAGAAGATTGCTGTTTGCATCATGTGTATCGGGACGACGGGCGTGCATGACCATTCCCTGCGTGTTCGTCCGCAAGGGATGTCGCCGCTTCAAAACAAGACCAACTCCAGCTTGGCTTGATTTTGGTGCTAGAAGATTCCAACCCTGGCTCTCCCAACATCGAAGTTTTGTCCAACAGTGCCCAGACCCGGTACACCAAGCTGCCGAAGCCTTCAAGCACCGAATTGACTGCTCAGGAAGGCATCGGAACGAGCTACCAAGTGGAGCTGAAAGGCGTCAAGATTGTTGGATCGCCTTAGCTGGGATGCATCGGCCGAAGTAACGGGCGCTGTTGCTCTTCAGTGTGGCTTGTGCGGGAGCGATTCGTGATTCCAAATTTGCGCGCCTATTGTAAGGACACGGGGCAGCTGTGATGTCATGAATAGCAGGAAGTCTAAGATGTTCATTCCGGTGTACTCATGCACGTCTGCTTTCGGGCTGTGGTCTGAGAGTCCAAATTGGCCTGGTCCGTAGGTTCCTGTGTTTCGGATACATACGGATGGATTGTTCAACGAGTTCGGTGCCCGAGAACGGTAGATGCCTGTGCTCACAAAAGCAGGAGTTGCACCCTTTGCCTGAAGCTGGCTGCATCGTACTGTAAGCAAATCCTTGTGGGACCCGCTTGGTGGCTTGGTCTTCTTTTCACCTGGAGCATCCTGGAAACTTCTTGAAACACTTTAAAGGTCACCTGGTGACGATGCTCAGGGAGCCAAAGCAGCGCATCCTCTCAGCGTTCCAAGGCTTTGTTGGAAGTAGCTTTTTGAAGACTTTTTTCGTAGTAGTTACTAGTTGTTACTCTAGTCATTCTGGTTGCAGTTGTTTGACTGCTCTCGGGGCCGTTCGGCTCCTAACATAGTCAAGTGCCCACATGACATCACCACAGACACTGTTTGGGGAGTGCAAAACCCTGAACCGCGTTTGGCGCTCGGCGAGGTTTCATGATCCGGTCTGGGCACACGGCGTTGCCGGTGGAAGTGCGTCTGGGGACCTACTTCCGCCTCAGTGCTTCACAGCTTCTTGCAGGGAATCCCTCCAATCAGGCACGCTGCAACACCCTGCAAGTGACGGATACTCGCAGCCGATGGCTCTAGATACCTCAGGTCAATGGGTCTTTGATCCGGTCACGGCACAAACAGGACACAAAGATTACACCAACAGAAACCCGCCAGCGTCAGTTCGCGCGTGAAAATTCTTCTGCCTGATACTTGTCCAAACAGAGAATTCCAAGCTAACGGCACAAAATTAACAGACTCCCCTTGACAGCCATGGCCGAGCTCGAGAAGATCACCTTGAACTTACTTCGGCCATCTGGCAGCCGCACACCTTTGGTCGTCCGCCGGATGGAGACAATTTCTCAGGTGAAAAACAGGGTCGCAGAAGTCATTCCTGTTGCCTGTCGGCACGACATGGAGCTGGTACACAATGATATACGGCTTGACAACAAGCAGACTATCCTGCAGTGTGGCATCAACGAGGGCGATGCCCTTACTGTTCTTGTACGCCAACTTTCTCGGATAGACTTCGACGAGGCAGTGCAAACTCTCAACACCATGCGGA